GGACATTTAGAGACATCTCCTGAGACCTACAGTGGGTACCCGGGTAGGGTCGGGTAATAGGGGATTGGGTACCCGGTTAGTAAATTTGGACTCGTCCCAGCCCCACTTCATGCTTTTAAAAATATGTCATGTAAACATACTTTTTCACTTGAAATTATTGAATTATTAATGATCTTCCTACTGGTTAATATGATCATCTTTTGTTGGTTACCCAGCCATGTTGGAATCAATGGTAACACCATGGCCGATGCTACTGAAAATCTGTGACGCCACTTCTGATCCCTTACAGTGATTACAAACCAGTGATCAGATCTTACATCCGGGATCTAAAGCAAAAAATGGAAGTGGGACACCCAAGTAGGTATCAATAACTAAGTTGCATTAAATGAAGCTAACTATCGGTTACACCTACTTGGGTTGTCAGTCCAGATTTGAAAAAGTCATTCTGAGACCATATACTCATGAATATTCAGTGAAAGGTGAGGATCCTCCGTTTCGTATCTCTTGTGATGAAGGAATCACAGTCAAGTATGTCCTGCTTGACTGTGTTGATTTTTCTACCACAAGGGATAAATATTTCAGTGTTAAAACAGTCAAGGACCTTTTTAGTCATGTTAATTCTCATTTAATAGTGTGCTTTTTAAAGAAAATAGAACTTATTCATAAATTTTGATGTACGTAGTGTATATATATTTTTTTAATTAGTAGTGCTAATTAGTAACTTAGATTGTTAGTGGCGGTTCCCTCCAGAAGGGCTGAAATAACGTCAAATTATTGTCCCCCTAAGAGGGTATGTACGTTTTGTACATGCCAGACTTTTTATCGTAGTATATTCGTCATTTTAATCTGTGACTTAACTGGTAAACTATCGCCAGTGACTGAAGGGATTATATAAATCCTGCCGGGGTCCATGCAGGAAGCAAAGGTACTGTAAGTCCCCATGGCCCCCACTATGATTATCTCCCCTTAGTTATTGGCGATATTTATCCCATTTTGATATTGTGTTGTTGACTAATACTTTATTCTCTGAAATGTCCCCTTCTCGTTTTAAATCGAACTCGTTCTTGAACTGTCCATCGATGTTTTTATTTGGTGCAAACATATGTTTTATTAGTGTATAACTAAATATTAACTCACTCACTCACCTGGCGTATATGCGACTTTACACCTAGAGACGAATAACAAACTTTGTTTGCAACCTCTTTCAAATCTTCACTAACTTCTAACATTTTTATGTGCTTTCCTGAAAGTTCAGATATACAAGTGTATGATAAGATTTAATCTCAGCCTCATTTGTTTGTCTCATTCCTTTAGCTCCAGGGGACACGAGTGGCCCAATGTATGTATGTGTGTGTGTGTGTGTGTGTGTGTGTGTATGTGTGTATGTATATGTGTGTGTGTGTGTGTGTGTGTATGTATGTATGTATGTGTGTGTTTGCGTGCGTGCGTGTGCGTGTGTGTGTGTATGTGTGTGTGTATGTATGTGTGTATATGTGCGTGCGTGCGTGCGTGCGTGCGTGTGTGTGTATGTGTGTGTGTATGTATGTATGTTTGTATGTATGTATGTATGTATGTATGTATGTGCGTGCGTGCGTGCGTGTGTGTGTATGTGTATATGTGTGTGTGTGCGTGCGTGCGTGCGTGTGTGTATGTATGTATGTATGTGTGTGTGTATGTGTGTGTGTATGTATGTGTGTATGTGTGTGTATGTATGTATGTATGTATGTATGTATGTGTGTGTGTGCGTGCGTGCGTGCGTGCGTGCGTATGTGTGTGTGTGTATGTGTGTGTATGTATGTGTGTGTGTATGTGTGTGTGTGTATGTATGTATGTATGTGTATGTGTGTGTGTATGTATGTGTGTGTGTATGTATGTATGTATGTATGTATGTATGTATGTATGTGTGTGCGTGCGTGCGTGCGTGCGTGCGTGCGTGTATGTGTGCGTGCGTGCGTGCGTGCGTGCGTGCGTGCGTATGTTCATGGCGGCGTTAGAAGCCAACTCCCACATTCACCGTTAGATCCACCTGATTGTACAGAGTCTGTGAACCACCATGTGACCATGTTGTTACGTGACTATAGTGTTTCTTAGTTTTAAAGCGCCCCAATGCGCCTGCCAAACAAACTATATATATCCCGCAAACAACAAATGTCCTCACATTCACGTGAAAGTGATGAAGCATGTCAGTAAACAAAGCGTAAATAACACGGTGAGGTGAGGTGAGGTGAGGTGGTGTTTAACGTCTCGTTCAAGATTATTGCACTTTTATAGCGATATGCATTAACGCGTGTGTGTGTCTGTATGTCTCTGTGTGTATGTGGCTACTTGTACTAGTCCGACTAATGCAGACTTCATAGTGCTCGCCCACTGAGATACCATGCCGCAGTTTAACATGAATACGGAGACACAGTATACTGACTCCGAGCCGACCAGTCCTTGTGATAGCCGAGCGCCAGGCAGTTTAACAAGTACCATCTCTTAACGTCTTTTGGTATGACGCGGCCGGGGATCGAACCCCGGACCTTCCGCTATCCGGGCAGACGCTCTATCCACTTGACCACTAAGCGGTTTAAATACCACGGAAACTAATAAATATATATCAACATCTCTTATTAAGCTAGGTTTATGTTTCTCGAACAGGAAAGTTTAAAAAATCAATATATGTACCATTAACAAATATATATAACACGATGTCATTTTTATTAACAATTTGTAGTTAACGCGTTGTTTACCGTTATGCGAATTTCCGCTAATTTCCGTAACGCCATTTCACCATAACATTCGGAATAGATGTTCTCCGGAATACGTGAACACGTGCAGTCCAAAACGGTTTTGTTTCCAATTTATGGAGAAAAAAGCACCAAACCTTCCGCATCACATGTACATTTTAGATGTGTTATTGCATCGAGCGTGGCAATTAGTGGTGCAACATAATTTTCTGAACCAAATGCTTGTATTATTTAATTTGTGCCTCAGCACGGTGTTATTAGTAAATTATACATACACCAGACACAGGTGGCGGGGAAAGGCCTACACGATTGTATCCATTAACAAAAGCGTTTGGCAACAGCTAAAAGTTTAATGAAAGGTTTCACGGGAGCTATTTATGATGATGACGTCAGGACCCGACTTCTCTCTGCTTTCAGAAATTAGTTTAATCCTCTCCGTAAAACTTTGGATATACGGTCACGCAGCAGAGCCTGGTAAAATTAATTTATTTTAAATGGGTGTGTCCCACTTGTTATCAACGCGGGTGGTTATAGTTTGTTTGCGTCACACGGAAGATCTAGGCACCACACTGGTTCAATGTGTGAGCTCAGTCATGAAGTCCCCTGCTGTGGTATTGCGGACTTGCTTTTTAAAAGGGCGTGAAACAACCCATTTGCTTTCTGCTATTGTTTTAAGCTGCGTAAAATGTACCCAATAACTTACGTCCTAAAATTGGAATTTATGCATGTTTCTGATATTCCTAGCGGGATTATATTATTTTTGAACTTCATTCCTCTTCAGAGTGAGTGAGTTGGGTTTAACGCCGCTTTTAACAGTATTCCAGTTATATCACGGCGTGTCAGTTTAATGTGGGAGGAAAGCCCGAAGTGATGCAGGTCTCAGACGTTTACCACTTCGTTGAAACCAATGAGCACGGGTATGGCCCTGATTATGTTTGTAGGGTGGTCAGCACCCACGCACGTGGGTTTCATCAACGTGGTAAACGTCGAAGTCATGCATCATTTTGGTTTTGCCTCCCAAATCAAGCTAGCACGCCCTGATATACTGGTAACATAAACAACTTGAGCTAAACTCCCTCACTCACTTACTTAGTCCGGACGGTTGTAATCAGAAGTACCCAATCTCGTTGTATCCTTCCTGTGTTGCGCCCAAAGGACACCGGTGTCCACTAGACGTGAGTTCCCGTTGTACCAGTTCCACTTGATGTCATCTGAGCATTGTTTCACTTCATGTCATCTGAGCATTGTTTCACTTCATGTCATCTGAGCATTGTTTCACTTCATGTCATCTGAGCATTGTTTCACTTCATGTCATCTGAGCATTGTTTCACTTTACATGATCTTGTTCTACTTGATGTCATCTCGGTATTGTTCCACCTGATGTCACCTCAGCATTGTTCCACCTGATGTCACCTCAGCATTGTTCCACCAGATGTCACCTCAGCATTGTTCCACCTGATGTCACCTCAGCATTGTTCCACTTGACGTTATCTGAGCATTGTCCAACCCAATGTCATCTCAGCAGTGTTCTCCTTGACGTCACCTCGGCAGTGTTCCACTTGACGTCATCTCAGCATTGTTCTACTTAATGTCATCTCAGCATTGTTCCACGTAATGTCATCTCAGCATTGTTCTACTTAATGTCATCTCAGCATTGTTCCACTTGACGTTATCTGAGCATTGTCCAACTCAATGTCATCTCAGCAGTGTTCCACTTGACGTCATCTCAGCATTGTTCTACTTAATTTCATCTCAGCATTGTTCCACTTAACAGCATTGTTCCATTAAATGTAACCTCAGCATTGACCAACTCGATGTCACCTCGGCAATGCTCCACTTGACGTTATCTTGGTATTGTTTCATTTAATGTCACCTCAGCAATGCTCCACTTGACGTTATCTTGGTATTGTTTCATTTAATGTCACCTCAGCAATGCTCCACTTGACGTTATCTTAGCATTGTTCTACTTGACGTTATCTTAGCATTGTTCTACTTGACGTTATCTTAGCATTGTTCTACTTGACGTTATCTTAGCATTGTTCTACTTGATGTCATCTGAGCATTGTTCCACGTGACGCCATCACAGTATTGTTCAACATAATGGCGACTGAATCGGGGAACAATTATTTGAATTTGAAACGGACTTCACTTCAGATGCTGTATTTGATTATTTGTTTGTTTGAGTCGGTAATTTGTCAGATGGATCACTGCGATTTTTAATAATCAATTGGTAAATAAACTGGGAATACTAGCAACACAGTTCTTGGGAATTCAAGCAAAACAGTTTTTGGGGAATACTAGCAACACAGTACTTGGGAAGTAAGCAACAGAGTTCTTGGGAATACTAGCAGCACAGTACTTGGGAATGTAAGCAACAGCGTTCTTGGGAATACTAGCAGCACAGTACTTGGGAATGCAAGCAATACAGTTCTTGAGAATACTAGCAGCACAGTACTTGGGAATGCAAACAATACAGTTCTTGGGAATACTAGCAACACAGTACTTGGGAATACTGGCAGCACAGTACTTAGGAATGTAAGCAACAGAGTTCTTGGGAATACAAGCAGCACAGTACTTGGGAATGCAAGCAATACAGGTCTTGGGAATACTAGCAACACAGTACTTTGGAATGCAAGCAATACAGTTCTTGGGAATACTAGCAGCACAGTACTTGGAAATGCAAGCAATACAGTTCTTGGGAACACTAACAACACAGTACTTGGGATACTAGCAACACAGTACTTGGGAATACTAGCAGCACAGTACTTGGGAATGTAAGCAACAGAGTTCTTGGGAATACTAGCAGCACAGTACTTTGGAATGTAAGCAACAGAGTTCTTGGGAATACTAGCAACACAGTACTTGGGGATGTAAGCAATACAGTTCTTGGGAATACTAGCAACACAGTACTTGGGAATACTAGCAGCACAGTACTTGAGAATACTAGCAGCACAGTACTTGGGAATACTAGCAGCACAGTACTTGGGAATGTAAGCAACACAGTACTTGGGAATACTAGCAACACAGTACTTGGGAATACTAGCAGCACAGTACTTGGGAATGTAAGCAACAGAGTTCTTGGGAATACTAGCAGCACAGTACTTTGGAATGTAAGCAACAGAGTTCTTGGGAATACTAGCAACACAGTCCTTCGGGATGTAAGCAATACAGTTCTTGGGAATACTAGCAACACAGTACTTGAGAATACTAGCAGCACAGTACTTGGGAATACTAGCAGCACAGTACTTGGGAATGTAGGCAATACAGTTCTTGGGAATACTAGCAACACAGTACTTGGGAATACTGGCAGCACAGTACTTGGGAATGTAAGCAACAGAGTTCGTGGGAATACTAGCAGCACAGTACTTGGGAATTCACGCAATACAGTTCTTGGGAATACTAGCAGCACAGTACTTGAGAATTCAAGCAATACAGTTCTTGGGAATACTAGCAGCACAGTACTTGGGAATGCAAGCAATACATTGCTTGGGAATACAAGCAAAACTGTGTTTGGGAACACATGCAAAACAATGCTTGGGAATTCAAGCAATACAGTTCTTGGGAATACAAGCAATACAGTTCTTGGGAATACAAGCAATACAGTTCTTGGGAATACAATCAATGCAGTGCTTGGGTAAACAGACAAAGCGGTTCTTGTGAACACAAGCAATACAGTGCTTCCAACGGGGTATGTACATGTATGGCTTGTGACCTTTACATGTATGTTCCTGTAAATTCGTACGTGTCAACGATGGTATTGTATTAAGGTAAACCTGAATATTCAGACTGAAACTGAAGACGAACCAAGCGATTTGAACATCCTGTAAAATGATATTTATTTTCTGTGCTCGGATCCGTGGGAGGTTAATTAGGAATCACAGTCTCGGGGCAGTCAGCCTCACGTGATGGATGTGACTTCTTGTGCTTCACAGCAAGAGACGCGGTACGGCTGTACGCAATGTACTCCGTTAGACGACTGATGCTAAGCCATGCAGCAAGACGACTTGATGTTAGCCCTTCCACGTGACGACAATATGTTAGCCATGCCACGTGACGATTACTAGTATATGTTAGCCTTTCTACGTGACGACTTTATGTGAAGCAGTTCAGCGCGACGACTTTAGATTAGCCTTTCTACGTGACGACTTAAGACGACAATATGTTTGCAATGCTGCATGACTGTATGCTAGCCATGTTACGTGTTGACTCTATGTCAGCAATACAAAGTGACGACTGTGTTAGCCATGCCCACTGACGACTGTATATTAGCCATGACTATATGTTAGCCATGCTACGTGTTGACAGTATGTTAGCCATGTTACGTGTTGACTATATGTTAGCCATGCTACGTGTTGACTATATGTTAGCCATGTCACGTGTTGACAGTATGTTAGCCATGTTACGTGTTGACTATATGTTAGCCATGCTACGTGTTGACTGTATGCTAGCCATGTCACGTGTTGACTGTATGTTAGCCATGTCACGTGTTGACAGTATGTTAGCCATGTTACGTGTTGACTATATGTTAGCCATGTCATGTGTTGACTGTATGTTAGCCATGTTACGTGTTGACTGTATGTTAGCCATGTTACGTGTTGACTGTATGCTAGCCATGTCACGTGTTGACTGTATGCTAGCCATGTCACGTGTTGACTGTATGCTAGCCATGTCACGTGTTGACTGTATGTTAGCAATGTTACGTGTTGACTGTATGCTAGCCATGTCACGTGTTGACTGTGTGTTAGCCATTTCACGTGTTGACTGTATGCTAGCCATGTCACGTGTTGACTGTATGCTAGCCATGTCACGTGTTGACTGTATGTTAGCCATGTCACGTGTTGACATTATGTCAGCAATACAAAGTGGCGACTGTGTTAGCCATGCCCACTGAAGACTGAATATTAGCCATGACTATATGTTAGCCATGCTACCCGTTGACTGTATGTTAGCCACGTTACTCGTTGACTGTATGTTAGCCACGCTACGTGACCGCTGTGTTAGCCATCCAAAGTGACGACTGTATATTAGCTATGTAACGCGTTGGCTATAGGCCATGCTACGTGACGACTAATTGTTAGTCATACAAAATGACGACATTGTTAGCCATGCTCCGTGTCGACTCTGTGGACAATACAGCAGAGCGACTGTATGCAGGCTATGCAACATATAGTACCATAGTTTAACCCTGCTAAACCGGGCATCGTTTGCCTGGAAGCCACGTCGTCCTGGGAACAACTGTTCGCAACGTCTTCACCTATTAACAGTTATTGCATCGCACAAATACTCTTTAGGCCAGAATTTGTAAATAAGCGCGTTTAACTGGAAAGGGTACCGTCAGGATTAACGGAGATCCACTGAATATTTTAGCCAGGCCACGTGACGACTATCTGTTTCATGCTTAATTACCAAATTCCAACACAAAATTTACATAAGTAAATGAACACAATTTTACTCCAAGCTCCTTTCGTCTGGCATTGCCGATTGATCAGAACTCACTCACTCATCCTAACAAGGCGTAAGCAAATCCCTTAAGTAATCTCACCGCATTAGCGTCACTTATGGGAAATTGCCACCCGCGGATTTGAAACCATTCTGAAATACGCCCAATCAGCATGTACGAGAACGTTAGTTTCTCGATGTGTAAAACGTATAAGAATGGAAACGGAGACGGAATAATTCACTAACATCTAATAGGATTTGCTACGGCAGACAGCATACCGCCAGGTTCGGTATTCGTCACAGAGGCGAGCTAACAGAACAATAGGCAAACCTCTCACACGGCAACTGCTGATTACCACAGCCATTTTACTGCGGAGCGGGTAACCTTTCCGCGCAAAAAATAGTCCATCGAAATTAGTAAAGGAAATTACACCGAGGGCTAGTCGGTCGGGCTAGCCGCGCTCGGATGGCGCTTTGTTGAAGTAAAATTGTATGAAAGAAATCCGGAGCGGCCGAAGGCATTGTACAGCGTCCAATATATTAGCATCGATTGACGAAACGGCTCTGCCGTGGCGCTGAGTTACGGCGCGGACTATTACCGCCTGTTACGGCGCATTGATCGGCCGTTTGCGGAGATAGATCGCATTAGGGTCGCATTTTGCCGAACAAGTGATAGCATGGCGCAGAATAGAAGAAAAAAGAGCTGATTAACGATTGTTGGAGATTCGAAGGAAGGCTTTTGTAATCCACTAGGCGAATAAAAGCGCGCAGAGGAATGGCAGGATCTGAATGGATGCAGCGAAATCACGTTCTTGTTTCTATTAAGAACGGGACGAAAGGCTTGTTTTTTTAGTCACAGATAGGTACTGTCGACCGGTACCATGAAACACTTAATTGAATGTCGTCAAAGAAAGTTTAAATACTATCCCACGGAGGTCCTGCTAAGAATGAGTCTCGGGAGAAATAGTGTTTTGTCGAACGTGCCCGCATGCGTCTCGAGTTTTAAGATAATCAAATTGCGTGGTAAAGAACGTGAAAATCGATATCTTAAATGGAAAACCTATCACTGCGCCCAACATATAATTAACCATTATTAAACCGCCGGGGTCCATAAAAAGGGGGTTTTAGTGAATATTCAAGTCACGTGGTAGAAACTATTTTCGCATACACGCCGTTTCTTTCTTCCTATCTCAGCCTCAATTTGTAATTGTAGTCTCAAACTCGTGTCGATGAGGTCGAGGCCCCGAAACTTCAACATTCTCTTTTGAATAAAATCTAAATCATCTACATCTACACCTTAACGATAGTTCCTTGGGTGAATGACCATCAGTGAGATTAGTGAGTGAGTATGGTTTTACGCCGCTTTTAGCAATATTCCAGCAATATCACGGCTGGGGGGACACCAGAAATAGGTTTCACACAATGTACCCATGTCGGGAATCGAACCCGGGTCTTCGGCGTGATGAACGAACGCTTTAACCACTGGGCCACCCGACCGCCCCTCAGCGAGATTAGTCGTGTACGTTCAGTCTAATGAAAACTCAGCAGATTCATCCCAACACTGAGCCAATTATTATACACAGAGAGGAAATTTGTATTTCAACAAATTATAAAATATTATAATTTCGTGCAATATTTATGTATTTACATAGCGCCGCAGTATTGGTCTAATAGAACCGGTAAAGCTGTTACTTCCGGGGAACTATAACGAACAGCACGATCAATAAGCAATATTGAATAACGTGTCCTGTTGTGATGAAGATAATTGCAGCACGCGTTTTTCCGTCCGGGATTGTACCATTTTGTCATCACTTGCCTTTTAAACACGGATACTGCCAGATAGGAAATCGGAGTCTTATTAGAACATGAAATATGAGAATATGATGAATTCCATCTTCGCAATTCAAGCAAACACAGAAACTATTATTTATGAGTTTCTTGCAAAATGTCTTGTGCGGTATTCATTGTCATCGAGGATGTATCGCTTAAACCTCATTCAATGCGACAATTGTAGTTCTCTGTGAACGCATGGAAGGTAAATCGAACCTCTGTCATTGGGGCAGCCTCGTCGTTGTTCAAAGACGTAGACGCTACGTCAACGTGTGTACAAAGGCCCATTCCGGGGGCCCGTTCCACAAAGCGATCTTAGTGCTATGATTGTCGTAAGCCTATTTTAAAGTATGGGAGTTACGATCATCTTAGCGCTAAGATCGCTTTGTGGATCGGGTCCCAGGTGTCCCCAGCATGCGACGTTGCTAAAAGCGGTGTAAAACAATGGACGCTGAGTCGGTCGTACATCTTAGATCGCTTTGTCAATTCCAAACCCCAGAACACTTCCATTGATTCTTATGGTTAGTGATGCCATCATGTAGGGATATACAGATGTGATCACGTGACAATATATAAACAGGTACTTGATTGGTGAAATAGAAGATAATCAGGATGTGAGTGAATTTTATATCACAGAATCTGTGCCAGACAAACCTGTGACTGAAATTATTAAACTCCAATCAGTCTTATCGAAACGGACCACCCGACTCCCTTTTGTCGGCTCTATGACTTGGTTGATGGAGTGGATCGTTGCTCAAGATATCGACCATAGACCGTCTGGTCCAGGTTATACATTTACAGGACAGATTATTTACAGGCCGCCGTCATAAAGCTTGACTTTTGCTTAATCCGCGCGGCGTTTAACAACAGACAAAAACAAAACAACTTAGCGCTACGATCGCTTTGTAAAACGAGGCTGAGGCTATATCAACTACGATGCCCCGATCAACAAAACGTTTGTAGCGCTATGACAGTCGCAAGCCTATATAAATAACACGAGTGCCGTGAAACTCCATGGTACAATACCACGTGTTATTCTTCACAAGGGCGTTGGATTTTTTTACTTGCAAACTTTGCCCGGG